TGACTAGCTGCCTTCCTTCTAGTCTTACACTGCTAAATTAGGAATGGCTAGCACAGATAGCCCTCATGTAGCTTTGCATGAAATTCAAAAACATACAAACCATTTAAACAAGAAATCTTGTTCTCTTATGTAATTTACATCAGTACTTTATTTTATTAGGAAAGCTTTTGGAAGTACATTTAAAAACAATTCTGTTAACTTCACATTAAAATAAGCTATGACACAAAACACTACTATTTATATTATTTGGGGTCATTCAGCATTGTGTTTACTGTTTATTGGGTTTGTTGATTAATAACTGATAACTTATCTTGTCATAGAGAGATGAGGAAGAACTACACAGTACTGAAAGTGTCCTCAAGGATATGTTGTTTGAAGTGATGTCAAAAATTTGTGTGGTTATTGAAAAACAACCAGCACTTCTACAAAAGTTTCCAGGTTTAACAGAATTGTTTGAAATCAGGTGTGTGTAGACTGTCGAAGTAAGTTACTTGTAAGTTTTACATAAATTATTTTTGGGGATGGGGGGTAAAAAAATACATCATTGTCAGTTTGGGTAAAAACATCATTGTGGTCCAGATCAAGTTAAATCTAATTGATAACAAATTATGTTCTCTTTTCCATAAATTAAAAGTTCTTTTACTTATTTATGTTGTTTGAATACAATAGATTAAAAATAATATTCAATAACTAAGGATTTGAGTCATTAAAATATTTTGCACATTACCTACATATGTAGTAACTTCACATAAAAATGAACTATGGTATTAAACAGTAATAATTATATATCATAAGTTGTTGGGTGTAATGTGTAGGTTGTGGGTTTACATGAAATATATGTTTTTGTGTGGATTAAAATGCGTGTAAAGTTTTTTATTTATACTTGTTTGTTTCATTTTATTATTTTTAAAACTGGAAAATAAGAAGGAAAAGTTAAAATGCAGAATGAGAATTAGAGTTAATCCAGTTTCATCAGGTTGATGGTGGATGTACATAGGTGACAGGTTCTTTATTTTGGATTTCACATATATTGGTCTTAGTGCTTCAGTTATAAGATTATTTTAATACATACAATTTACTAAACTATGCATTTATTAGTAAGTTCTAGTTTTGTTTATTATCTCCTTTTTTCTAGAATGTAAGCTGAATTTCTTTATTACATCTTATCCATTTGCTTACTAGTCATATACTATTTGTTTCTTATTTTTGTAATGGTTTTTATTTTTTGATGGATTCTTTTGGATTATTTGGTAAAAAAAATAATACAAAGTCCAGTCCATTAATAATAATAAAAACATCTTATTTATTCATATGCAAATTCTACATTTGCATGATTTCACAAGCTAATCATTGGCCTAAACTTTTAAATTATGATAAGCAGTCACTTATTTGTTAATTTTTGTATTTACAGTACATCTTGTATCTCTATTACTTTATTGAAAATATAATTCAGATGTTAAATCATTTGCTCATCACATGAACTCTTGTGAAACAACAGTAAAAATGTCTAAGTTAAAAAACATATTCTAAAACAGTGTGATTAAAGGTTTCATTTACTTTCATGTATGTACATAGAGGTGATGTAACTTGTATTCTAATACCATACTGGTAATAAATGTTTTTTAAAATTGAATTTTTAATTTAAGGGGATACATGCTAGGCATTTCAAATTAATTATTTTATTGATAGGTCTGAAGTGGTTAGTAAACAGAAGGAACTAGAGGTTGTTTTGAAGAACAAAAGCAAACAGACACCTAATGCATCCCTTTCTTCACGTCTGTCTTCACTTTGTCACACTACTCGTCAAAAGGATTCTTTAACTGTCACTTCAGGATTAAAATCCCCTCATCTTTCAATTTTCTCTTCGAAGTCATTGTATGGGAAGAATATTTATCTTGAAACATTTTCAAGGACTGCAAATAGCCCTTCTTTCTCAGGTTATGCACCTTGTAAAAGTAATGGTGTTCAGAAACTTAGTCCAATACCAATCTCTACCCAACAATGTTCACAAAATTCTTCAGCCATGACATCCACTTCTCCGAAAGCCATTAGGCAGCTTACTTTTGGGAAACAAATACAAACCTCTCCTGGAGTTCAGTTTAAAAGTATGCATTCTTCAGAGATTGTTGGACAAAGAGAACTACAATCTTTCCAACCTCATTCATCCAGTGAAAACTCTTTGTTGCACAAGAACTGTGGACCAGAAACACAACAGATTATTGAAAACATTGAAACTCAAAATTTGGATTTTGGAGATGAAGCTTTTATTATAGAAGACCTTGAACAAGGTAACGCATCTAAGGAAGCATCAGGTTAGTATCTACACAACTTCATATATATATAAACAAATGTTACTTTATGTTTGAAGTATGGTACTGTGTAAAAATTGTTATAAAACATTTTGAGACTCTCAAAACTTTCTCACAGGTTATATACTTTGTTTATTTTCATTATTACAAAACAGGTTAAATATTTAATCTAACTCTACCTGTTTTTAATATGTTAAATGCTTTTCATTAATTTCTATGATTAAAGAAATTTCTTTAATAACAATTCTAGTATGACTAAGGAAATGTTTCTTTCTGAAGTCACTTAGAATGAATTATAATTCATATGAGTATTACTGTGACACAACTGTTACATAAAGAAAATAAAAAATGCTAATTCCATCTTACCAAAATTGAAGTTTTTTAGCTGTAACAAAGAGGATAATAGAGTTTGGAAAATAAATATTTTTACACTAAGAGATGCATGTTGAAATAATTCAATGGTAATTTTTCTAAAAATAGTGATGAATAAATATAATATGTGCAGCTAACCCAATCCCTTGGATCAGAGTGTATGTGCAGTATGATTGTCTAGTGGGCCATTTACAACCATCATTTGTCATTCCAGGTGTTATTTCAATGAGGAAAATTGTATTGCATTTGTTTTTGATGCAATGGGTGCATCCAGCACAGTTGTGCTCAGATTAGCTAAGTACCCATGTGGATTATTTTTTTTTCCACTGGATGCCACTGTTCCTTCTCACTTTACTGAGTGCAAGAAAAGACTGCTATTGAACTGAGAGCTTTTTGACAGTTGTCATTTCTATAAAAGTGTCAAAGGGGAGATATTCAATTCAATCCAAATCAATTTATTCAGCATGGTGCAATAAAATCTTATTTATCTATAATACTGACATTAAAAACATATGTGTAAACTGAACAACAACAAATATATACTCAAACACTTTCCTCTTTTATTTGTGTTTTCTGTTCATGTTCCTATCTTATAAATATTTCTTTCAATCAGTTAACAGAGAAAATCTCCTTTTTTCATGAAATTCCTTAATAAAAAGAAACATTTTTGCTCTTATTATTATTATTTTTTCTCAGATTTACCATTCAGCAAATACAAAGACTGATAAAGCAGTGTTGATATTGATAGGAAATTTTAGGAATTGAAAGAAATGAATATTTTTCATGTAACGTACTCTTGAAAAGAAGCATTTTGATATATCTACAATTAACTGTTCAGGAGATAGTCTGTGACATATACAGACATTTGGTTATTATATATATAGACATTATCTTTTCAATTATAACCATTCCCTCATCTATGTGACATCAGTTTTTCTGTTGTGCTACCATGGAAACCAAGTTAGAAAAACAGTTACCTTTCCATAATATTCTAGTTAATAAAAAGAGAGACAAACACAAAACATGAGTTTGTTGTAAATCAACCATTACTGAATGTGTACTTCAATGAAATTTGTCACATGCTGATGAAATCATTAGGGAAAGCAATTTTTATTCAGTAACTGGCTACCAGCTGGTTATAGGAACTTTAACACTATTTTTAAGATCGGAATTAAAACCACCTACATCTGATGAACTGGATCAATCTTTCTTGTATACTCTATGTCCCATGCATTATTGAAACCATACACAGACCTTAGAAAGAAATTGTCAAAGTACAACTTTAGTTTGCCCAGAAACTTGAATGCAGTTTATTTTTCATTATATCATAAAATAAATGACAGGTCTGAAAATACAGGACCTGTGTATATACTACATTCCTCAAAATTTTATGATGGAGAGTTTGAAAAAGAAACAAATCAAAGATTAAAGGAGCATCTGCAACATCCTTCTAATATCTTTTGAAAAACATCTTCAGTGCTGAAATTATATTTAAATAACTGTATGAGACAACAAAGAATTAAAGAATCGTTAGTTATAAAAACAGCTACATTCTTGATGAGGCGTGGAATTCTCTGAATCTAGTCTGGTCCCCCCCCCCCAATAAATGTTTAAACAACTCTATTCAATTAAACAATATCATATTTTTGGGGTTGAGGTTTTCTGAGTAGTCAGTTAGGATCTACTAACTGGACATTCAAGGATACTGACTCACAGAGTGTGTGTTTTGTGTTTCTCTCCAAATTTTGAAAAATGCATAAATCAAAATTTTTTATTAAGCTCAAACAAGTCTAAACAACACAATGTAAAACAAAACACAAGAGCAAGTATGTTTAGTGTATGTGTATAACAACCAATAAAAAATTATTTATAAAAAAACAAGAAATTTTGTTCTTAACCCAATGACCAACGGCTACTAACTTTCTTAGTAGCCAACGCAAGTCTTGCTATACCTCGTCCATCAATAAAACTAGTGGATGAAATTGTTTGAAACTTCATAAGAACTTTCATAAATGCACATAGTTTAAGAAACATAAAGCCTGTTAATTTGATAAATTTAGTTTTTTGCATTATGATCTTTAATATCTTGAAAAATTACATTAGGAAATGGTATTTATAAGAAATGATTATGATATTTATATTTGTTTCAGCTTTGAACTTATTACTTTTTGTGTTTTAGTACATTATTTTAAAATCACTAAAAATTTGTTTCATCCATGAAATGCAAATTTTATCTGTTTTTAATTTTTTTTAATAATCACGTACTCTCCTTATGGTTTTGAGTAATATACAAGACCCTAAAATAATATTTGTAAATAAATCTAACCAATAAATGAATATTTTTATTTTCAACTAGGATTTCATGTTTATATATGTACATAAAAGCATTTTAATTTTGTTTCATAAATGTATTGTTATTTCATATTTATGTTTCATTGCAGCCGTACTTTTGTTTATTGTGCTGAATAAACCGTGGGGTTAGCAGCGTGAACTTTTTACGTTTTCCGTAAACTATCTCACCCCTATTGGGTTTCACTCTCATTCAGCCCAGCGCTGGGGCATTTGAACATTACTGTACATATGATAGTAAGAAAGCTTTTCGGTACTTGAATATCATTTCTTTGAACTTTCAAACAAGTTTATTTCAACATATGTTCGTGTATGTTGTTTCACTATAGAGACAAAACTAATTGCCACTACTAGCAAATGTATGTAACAGTCTACAGTACAGGTGGTTTCAATAACACCGCCTGAGCCTGACCCTAGTTACTTCATACATCCTGTTAGAAAAATTACCAAATGATACAGACACCATAAATTACAAAGAAAATTACTTTACAGCACTTAAAAGATTAGTCCTGGTCACATTCCTCTCATTATAGGCAAGATTTATGTTGGAATTCGAAATTAAGCTCTTCAGTGTATTGAGACCCCAACTGTTAGAATGTCATAGCTTCTTTGTATTTATTGAGACAAATGTATGTAGTCTGTTTCACAACCAACATATGAGTTTTACTGTTGTCACTGAGTTTTAAACCATTTGCAAAATATCATAATAAACTATATATATATCAGTTAGACTGTTTTCATTCTAAAGCAATAACAGAAGTGTGGGTCTCACTACAAAGTAAAGATTGTA